TACTGGTATTAGAGGCTGTTTGTCTTTAAATTTCTTTAATAGTAGTTTATAAGGCTTAAAAGTTGCTGCTCCATTTATTTCTGTAATTGAGTGTCTGTGTGAGCAGAGAGTGGATGATTCTACCTGACTCTTTTTGGTATAATAAAGATGAATTGGACAGTCAGAATAAAAAGATGTTGCTCTCACAGGTAAGAAAAAGAAGTCCTACTGATTAATTAGCACCAATTAATGAATATTTATTAGTTAAAAACTTTAAGAAAATAAAAACCTTTTTTTAGCCTTTTGCTAAAGGATATATTTGAAGAGAGAGATTGAAAAAAGCAGTCTGAGGAGGAGAAGAGCAGCCTGGGGAAGAGAACAGTGAAGCTTATAAATGAAGATTTTTTTTTTGTGTGTGTGTTTTCAAAGCAAACAAAAACCCCAAATAAAACCCAAAGCTTTTATTTAAAGACAGAATGAAAAAATAAGTTAATAGTTTGTTCAGAGAGATGAGAATTTATACAGGTCAATACACTGGAGTGAACAGTGAAATGGGGATCTTTTGCTGTCAGAAGAGCGAGTCACAAACATGCCCAGAAGAATTTGTAACTTCTTTCCAGTTGGTTTAAAAGCTTTTCAGTAAAACAGCAGAGAACACAGAGGCAGGTACAGAACAGCACTGTCCTTCATGGCAGACGGGTTGGAAACGTCTGGGGGAGCAGCACTGCTCACTCACTGATCTTCTGGGAGAAAGGGGAATCTCAGCTCAGGGCAAGCAAAACATACAAACAACCAGGCTCCAAAAATGCATGGTACATGCAGAATGCACCAGAGAGAGGAACTGAAGCACATGCACACAAAAATCCTGCTTTGTCCTGCACTCTAATCCCCTGTTAATTTCTTAGGTCACTGTACATGAATAATTACTTGCATTTTTTTTTTTTCTCCTTTTACTAACTTAGTAAACATGGTTCCAACCTTTATGTTTTGGAATAAAAAAATCACGGTAGTGGAAATGACAGACATGTTTTATCTTACATTTTGAGAATTATTTTGCTCTGCCACTTAGCTCCACTTTGGCTGTGTTTTGGTTAAAATATTTTCCATGGGTGAAAATATCCAATATCAGTCCAGTGGCATGCTGTTATTTTTGAAGCTTGCATTGAGTTGGGATGTCAGAGCTGAAATACAGCCCATGGTCACCATGGACATTGCCACATGTGCACAGGAGGCTGCTGCTGGGAGGATGCTGACCAGGAAATTGTGCCCCAGCTCTGCCATGAGCTGTGTGACCTTGGCCATGACACCGACTCCAGTTATGGCATCATCTGACTGTAAAACACATTTAGCAACCTGTCCCTCTGTGAAAGCAGGTAAACTGTGACCCAGAGCAGAGCTCTTCCAGTTTGACTTCAGCCTTCAGAACAGAATTGTTCGTGTTTGCCTTGCTTACATACAGTAACACAGCTCCACTGCATTAGAAGTGTCTTGTTTTGCTTTTTTGTGTACAAGAATATGTGAAAAAAGTTCAGTTTCTGTTGTCTTTTATGGGAGGGTATTTTCACCCACAAACCTGGGAGCCATGCCTATTTCATTCAGGTTTCTGAATTAAAATAAAGATTTGGAGACCAGATTTGAAAGCTTGGCCTTAGAAAAAGACACTTTCCAATAAAAAGAAAGGAATTCAGGGAGAAACATAAACTATGTTCAGATTTCCAGGGTTTGTAAAGTTCACATATGGGGGTATTTGATGATGGTCAAACACAGCTTGTTTTCAAGAAATACTGTTTAAAGATTATGCACAAGTGCATGTGATATTTAAGATCATGTGAGTGTACACACCAGCATTTCTTTGTTAATGAAGACTTGAAGTGCATAATTTTAGAAGATCACAGGAGTGGTAAGAATGCAAGAGCAATTCAAGTCTTCTAAATCTTGAAAGAGCTGAGTTTCTATGATATTAGATCAAACAGAAAAATCCATGTTAAGAACATTTTTATGACAATGATTCACTCAAATAAACTTAAGATTTCTTTTACCAACCGATCTTTTTTTTTCTAAAATAGTATTTAATATCTGAAGTTATAAAAAATATTTGTAGTCCTGAAAATTATTTTTATTGTCTATTTTATGTACTATTCATGCCTCTTTCAGGAATTATTAAAGAAGCATGAGTCATACGGCACTCATTTACTCTTGGCTTGTGGCCATCCTCAATATATATTTTGATTTTTTTCAAGCCATTCACAGGTACATACACGTGAAAATATTGTGTCAAGCCCCAAGCTCACAGTTAGCACAGCATACATTGTTCATCGAGATATTTACAAAGTTTTAGAGCACATAAAATTGTGCATTATTTTGTACCAAAATTTAAACGTTAACATACGCTTGGTTGCATATATAGAAACAAGTTACAATAAAAATCTCAACAAAGACAACCAATAAACAGCCAAATTGCTATGTACAAACAAGGCAGGAAGCAATTAAACTCTACCTCGCACATTTCACTTAAATTACTTTTTCTCGGAGGGGAAAAAACAAACAACCCCTCTTCCCCTCCCCCAGGTCCCCAATAACCCTATTAAGTCTTTGTTTTTATCAGCAAAATGACTGGAACTCCCATTGCATTCAGAAGGGGATCCATTTGCATAACATGGGGGAGAAATGTGGTCCCTGTTAGAAGGAGCAATAGTGAATTCTGCAGCGAGGGCTTCCCCAGCACAGCTGGTGTCGCACAGTGTGCTGGGCTCTCTCTCTGAGCCCGGCTCCAGCCATCCCTGTCACCTCCAGGGGAATATTCTGGGATCAAATGCCTTTTGTCTTCCTTGCACACACCATTTTTTACACCAACATAAATGTTGTTTTCATGATGGCTCCACTGGGCCAGGTCTCAGGTGACACAGAGCTGTGCCTCAGGGTGTGCTGGTCTGTGCATGGTCTGTACCTGACCCAGCTTCAGTGAAACTACTGATTTACACTGCTGCAAAAGAACCTGGAGTGAGGCCCAAGGACAACAGGACTGTGCCCAAATGGACCTTTACATAAAGTAAACCACAAAAACTCTGTGCATTCAGCTTCAAATCTGCTCAATAATTACTACAGTTCACAGTAATAAGATAGATCAGTGCCACACCAACTTCTCCAATGTCAGATCAGTTTCACATTGCTTTTCCAAGAAAGAAAATGAAAATAACAATAAACATAAAAAGTTTGTTCCTAGTTTTTTGAAAAGCTACAGGTGTTTTTCTGTATCCTAGTGACAGCCAAGCTTAGTAACACTTCCCCTGTTATGGGCTGACTGGTGTAAGGGCTGAATCTTGCCCAGGATGCTGTGCTGTGAAAAGACTGAGGAAGGCATTCCAGCCTGGCTCTTATTGACCCCAAAACTGAGAACTGGCTGAGAACCAGCTCCTGGGTCAGAGCTCACAGACACCAGCACTGAGGAGAGGTGACCCTGAGCTGGTGGGATCTCTCCAGCATCAGCAATGGTGGATGGGCAGCTCCAGAGCCTGATCAGATCAAGGTGACCCCTCCTGGCTCTGCAGAAATGTCTGAGCCAAAGGAGGGCTCTGGGGGCTGCTCTAGGATGGGTGCCCTGCTGGCCAGTCTCTGTTGCCAGCTCCAGTGTGCCAGGGTTCACCTTGGGGAATGCTGCCCTGCCTTTCTGCAAAGAACATATGGGGCCAACAGCCCCCTTCTCACTTCTGGGCATGATTCAGTCTTATGGATTCCACTTCATGTGATCAAAAGATAAGTTATACTTACAAATAAAGCATTCTAGTTACTTATGTTTTTTTTTGTAGTGGAAAAATCAGAGACCCAACCCGATGAAATCTCCATTGTCTGAAAATTCAGGGCCTGTTTACTGAAAATAGTTTTTGCTGATGGCAAAGTTCAACACCTTAGAGAAATTCAGAGTAAGTTCCCAAACTGTGTACCCTATTTTCAAATACACTATACCTTTGTTGTTTGTAAGGCTGCATTGAAATATTACATAACAGTCACGAGCCATGCATTTAAACACCTTAAAAGAGTTGACCAGCAACTTAATGCATTTCTTTATACAATTGAGAATTTAAAGATGAACTGTCACTTTCCAAAACACATGAATGTTCAGGATAAAATATTCCATCTCCCTTCTCCCCCTTTAATGTCTATATTTAAAAGCATTATTTTATAGATTTCTTTGTCTTACTATGTAAAAAAAAAACCCAAATTTTAATTAGTCTCTAAAACAAAGTAAAAAATACAAGTATGGGAAATAAATGCTGGAGCCACAGGTGTCTTGAGACAAACTGTCCATTTGCAGGCTGCCTTTCTGTGGATGCAAGAAATTTTGAATGTAAACCTTGCAGTTTACCTATCTCACTTCCTACCAGCAGAAACAGGTAAGTTTGAGACCACTAAACAGGGAGATATAGTCTACATTTTTTTCTTCTTCCTGTGGAGTCATTAATATTAAAGCACTGTATTCTTTTCTAGCCAGTCCAAGTCATGGCTAGAAATAGGAGGGACTGGGTTCAGACCAGGAGAAAATATAATCCCTGAAAAATGCAGGACAAAAGTTCTGGTGCCAGACGGATGAGTAAGAGAGACCCAGAAGTTGCAAAGCCCAAGGACCCTTTGAGAGAGGAGAGCTTCAAGTGATGCAAAGAGAGCACAGGCACCTTTGAATGAATGTCTGCTGGCCACTGGAGCTGGTGTGGTGCAGGCTCTGGGCCCTGGCACTGCCCAGCTCTCTGCAAGAGCTCTTGGAGGGGCACTCGAGCTCAGCCTGGAGAAAGGGCTCCCAGTAAAGGCCTGGATTCCTAACCTTAATTTGATTCTGGACTGTGAGCCTTTACTCAGCTCTATTCAGGGGAGTCACTGGTGGAGTCACTCTGTGGAGTGGGGCTAAAAATGCTGTGCTGTGCATTTTCCAGGATTATTTTCAGTTGCTGAAGTTGCTTGTGAAATGTGTGTGTGATGTTCCTAAGAAAACTGCAGAAGAATTGTGATTTGTATTATAGAAAGGCACTGCTTTCTACTATTTATTTATCTCTGGGTGTTCACTACTGTTCTTTCAAGGACACCCAAAATTGGTAGGGATAGCAGTTTTGAACAAAGAACATGTATTTTTACCTGAATATAAGTCAGTGCTTTATAGCCAGAAGTATTTAAACCCAGAACTATCAGTTAGTAATTTGACTAATAAAGTTTGTGGAAGAACCTCAGTCTGGAGGCAATAGATCAAGGAAGCACATCCCATTGGCCATCACCTAAACACTACTTCCTTAGCAAGGTTAAAACTAGGACAGGATAGATTTTGGCTGGTATTTGCACCCCCAGAGTCAAGTTTCATCTCAGCACAGAAGATTATGATGAAGTCAAGGCCTTCCTTCAAGTAGAGAATCCAGTCCTTTATGAACTACATGACTGCTTCTGGAAAGGTCCAGCAGCAGGAGCAGACAAGAGATTGTTCCATCCTTATCTCACCAGCAGTGTGTGCCTCTTTGCTGGGCGTTTTGCCCTCATTGTCCCTGATGAGCCAAAGAAAAGTGAGGTGGGTTTCATTTAGGAGCATCTTGTTTTATCTCATCACTTCCTGCAAAAACATAGGGCCTCAGTGTATGGTTATTTTATTCTTTAATAGTTTTATGGCAGTTTTCTTTAGAGGCAAAACAGATTAGGGGAGCCCTGGCAAGGTCCTGAATACTGGAAAATGGTGTCAATTATTTTGGTTCTGCACAGGAGCATTCCATTGTTTGTCTCTCCCTGGTGAAAAGCCTTTTGCTAATAAACAGAATGTGAAGTAATCAGCCCTCAGTGACAGTCAGACTGTCCTGCTTGGCTCTGTGGTGAGTCAGGCATTCCCCATCCCCAGTTCCATACAATGTGTGCCCTTCTAGCTGCAAATGGGCACTGCCACTGCTGCTCCCCCTGCATCTTCTCACCCACAGGAATTTTTGGTGTGGGTCTCATCCAAACCCTGTGGGAGTGAATGGAAGTCTTTCCATCCTCACTGTGGATCAGGTAATGAATGAGTATTTTTTGTCCAAGAAGTTAACTTCCTGCTCCCAAAAAGAGAAGTTACAAATGTAAATCCCTTATAGAAAAATTTTGCCCTTCCTATCACTGCAAAGACTCTTCTTGGCTTCCACATACTGACCAAGCATAAAATAGTGAATAACATTTATTTTTGAATTTATGGATTGAGTTCGCAGGGATTTTAATAGCACTGGGGTTATGGAAGTGCTATTTTAATAAGGACCACAGATCATGGGCCCAAATCCTTACCTTTACCTCAAGGACTTGTAAACTCAACTATTTAACTCAAATCTCTTTATTGGGGGCCTTAGAATGTATCCACCTGGAGGCTGGAAAACTGAAAGGTAGAAGGCTACACAAACATGGAGTGAGGGAATTTAACCAGCAGGAATGTGGCCTATAAAATTAAACTTCAAGAACTGTTTAAGAAAATTAAAGCTTGTGCAACAGCTGGGGTTTCTCTACACATTAGTTCATTTCTTAGTAACTTCAGTGTTAGGGTTCTTATTAATATAGATTTCATTTTTGAGATCATCTTCTGTAGTTCTTGTTGTGGTTGCAAAGGACAAAATCCTGACTCACTGTAATTTGCCTTTACACAGTACAGTAAGATCCCAACCTCCTTATCACATTACTATTATTTGGGGCCCAAAGAAAAAAAAAATCTTACACTCAAACTTCATCCCAAACTTTCCTAATATGAATTGCCAGAATATCCCAGCTTCAGACATAGTGATCAAATACCCATGGAGTTTATGGTGAATATTCAGGAATAAAAATAGGGGTGTTTCTTTCCAATGGGTGTGTGAGAGTGATGCCAACACAAAATGTGCTCTTGTTTGGTGGGGAAAAGAAAGGAAAAACTGTGCTTCAATCTCACATACACCCTGCATATTATTTGTCTAGAACCTGGCCTCATTCTGCCTGCTCTTGACCTCAAAGGTTCATCTCCTGAGCTTTTAAAATAACTTGCTACTTAAATAATTTGAAATCTAAGCTCCTGAAAAAACAATTGTGATAATTATGTCAGGCTCTGACAGCATTCAGAGATGGTGTTGATTACATTCTCTATACATTGAAAGAATTTTCATTTCTTTAAGTGGCTAGAAACTCTGGGTTATCTGTTTTGCTAGACCCGTTAGTATTTCAGCTATATCCAACCTAAATTCATTCAAGAGAAGCTGAAAAGCAAAAAAAAAATTGCAGGAGGTGGTGAGAGACAAGTTAATAGACCTTTAGGACACAGTCCTAACATAAGGTCATCGAGGATGTTACAACTTCTGATAACTTGCAGGCAGAACCACTCATGCTTAAAATTTTGCATGCTCAGAGAAACATGGAAATGAAGAGACCTGCAAAACCTGATACTCAATTGCACATTGTTATGTGGTGACTGTTACGAGTCTACCTGCAAAGCTGCAGATGCCAGTGACAATAATGCTCCCTTCATGACAGATGATACCTCTGTGAGACCAGAAATCTGGTGATGAAGTTGAAAGATTAGGATTCTTTAGAGTGGCACAAGCTGCCATTTCAGGAGCTGGATTTTCACCAGTGGTTTTGAAAGTATGGCCTTTGTGATCACAATGCTCATACCTCATGTGGAGTGATGGGAAGCAGTGCAGGATTCTGGGGTTAAAGGGTGCTGCTGAAAACTTCTGGGACAGCAGAACCCGACTGCTCCTCTGGCCCCGTGATCTGTTGCATAGCACTGTGCACATCTGTGTGTTCTACAGCCTCTGTGCTCATCGCCCAGGACCTGCCCTCTCCATCCAGAAATGTTTCATAAGGCTCCACGTGTATCCTATGGACATCCTGCCTTGGCTCCTCATACCTGCCTTTGCCGTCCTCTGGAGGGCTGGATGCATGAGGTACGAAGGTGCCCCGAGGCCCATCGATGGGAATGGTCACCTGCTCGCTGGAGGTAGGTTCTTGAGCCAGGTCTGGGGATCTCATCGGGTGCTGGGTGTAGACACCCTCTGACAGAGAGCCCGCCTGCGTCTCGCTGTGCACGCGCAGCCAGCGGTGCTGCCGGCTGAAGTAGTTGTAATGCTGGTGTTTCCCCAACTTTTTTTTCCCTAAAAAGCCCAGTGGCTGCTTGGAGCTGGAGGACTTGTCCGTGCTTTTCGGTGTAAGCCCTGACAGTGTCAGACTGCTCATCTGCTCCGTGCAACAGTCAGCACTGGTGTCCAGGGCACCACACTCTGTCAGGCTGTCCCTCAGCGCCAGGCAGGGCTTCAGGTCGTGGGCTTGGAGCACGTTGGGTGCGCTGCCACCCAGGCCACTGCCAGCCTGCTGGGAGATGTCCTGGGACGAGGAGTAAATCAGGTCCAGTTCCCTTGGGCTCAAGGCATCGCTGGAGTCGTAGTCACTGTCGGTGGGGAGGAACACCTCGGAGCAGCCTTCTTCATCCGAGCAGGGCTGGGAGTCTGCAAGGAGAGCTGGTTAACACTCACAGGACAAGCTCAGCAGAGACGTATCATTCATGTGGGTTTTGTCCTAATTTTAAATCTCCAGTGCTGGAAATGTATGCGTGTTTCCTCTGTGAAATTGCCACAGGCCGAGGTGACAGCAAAGGCAGTCAGGGAGGATTTGTCAGGGAGGAGTCACAGATGTGTTAGACAGGTGGTGGCAGAATTAGGAAAACCAGAAAGAATTAATTTATTATGTTAAAGATGGGGAAAAAATTGAATTTGAATTGGGATTAAGTTCTGAGAGGATCTGTTTTCTTTTATCTTGCTTTCACTAAATTTCATAGACATGGAGATTTGTGAGAGAGAAAATCTCTAATTCAGTTTCTGTTTTTATTAAAGATGTCAATTAAGTTACTCTAGATTTATATCTCTGTAATGGTGAGCAGTGTGCAACAAGTGTGGTAAGAGGCTCAAGGCACAACATGGATGTTGATAAATAAAAACTGCCCTTTTGGCCATCAGGTGCATTGTGTGTTCAAATCCAAAACAGACACACAGAATTCAAATGCGAATTTGAGGACCACATCTCACACTGACACTGAAATTGCTGCTGTCTTTGGGCTTCAGAGGGATCAATAAGATAATAAATAGTGGCATGTGTGATAGAATAGATTGATGCTCCATTGCCATGGATAGTTCATCTTAGATTCCAGGAATTAAACATCGATTTTATACAGTGCTGACTGCTCACTTGGAGCTTGTGTAAATTGCCATAGAGCCCAATATTAATGAATCCAGGGTGTGCAGGACAAGATAAAACTGCAGTTTGCACTGTACCAGAGCCAAGGATTATTCTGTATTCATGGTCTGTGATACAGGGGAAAAACAGCTCAGGGAGGGGTGCTGAGAAAGAACACCACTGTATCATGGAGTGAAGCAAAGCACCAGCCTCTTCAGGCTTCTTTTCTTAACCTCATGAAATCTAATCAGAATAGATTTATTAATTTTCCTTAACTGTATAAAACTGCCAATTTGAAAAAAACACAAATTATTATTACTATAATGGTCATGGCAGTTGTTTAATGCAGCATCTGTTGCTTTTGTTTCTGCTATTTCATTTACTTGTTGCTTAAAGACATCTCAGCAGAATGATGGTTTATTTTTTCCTCCAAAGTCCTTATTCTGTTAGCAAAATGGGTGTTGTTGTTTCATTTGCTTCATCTTTATTTCCTGTGATCCATTTCTTTCATCAGCTTAATTTTCTGGCTATGCAGTGAAGTAATAATGGTCAGTGAGGTGGGTACTTATTTGTGTAATTTGTGTAATTCAAAATGCTTCTCAAAAACACTGAAAACTCCGAGAGGTGTGTGAATGAAAACAGCTGTTAAACTGGACAATTGGCACTAAAATTTGCTCTATCAAAACAAAGCAAGAGGGGTATGAGAAAAAATTGCTGCAAAACTGAGGAAAACTGAAAGCCTGGAAAGAAAATGGCTGTTATACCTGAGATACAGAAGGTGGCAAATGGAAAATCTGGAAAAAATTGAGTTAGATTCTGTCAAATTAATGAAAACTGTGGGGAAGAATAATAGATACATGAGTGATGAGAATGGGTCAATAGCTTTTGCTAACAACTCATGTCTCATCAGTCAAACAAAACTCTGAACGTGTGCACAATAAATACACAGCCATCATCAGAGCTATGAAGGGCTTGTGATAATGTTCTTTAGCATGGGCTCTGCAGCTGAAATTGGGACAGAGAGAAAGCTCCCTCCCTATGAAAGAGCAGATTGTTGGTGTAGGCAAAAAAATGAAGCAGTCAGCTTCCACCATGGGTGGATTTTACTGGAATTCTGGACATCATGGAGAAGCCAGTGATAGCACTTGTCCCTTCCAACCTGTGCATTAAATGATCTGGAATAGTGAGGTGACAATGTTGGCTGATGATGAGCAGTTATTCTGAGTAGCTGAAAGTAAAAAATGATTGTAAAGATTACAGAAGGATCTCAGTATACTGAGTGGCAAATGATTGGTAAAATGATTGTTAAAATACCTTGACAGGTATGGGAAAAATTTACTCCTTTTATGAAAGGACGTACAAAAACTGTTATAATTAAAAGTGAGTTCAAAGAGTGCTTGGTAAAAAAAGAAAAGTTCTCTTACCACTCACAGCTTTTCTCCTCTGGATTCTGGGCTCAGGAGAAGGGGGAGGTGAAGGAAGACAATCTAGATGTGAAGAGGTGGAGCTCATTTTCTTTTGAGAGTGTTCTTCTGAAAGATCCACAAGCTTCTTTATGGGCAGGCCTGCTGCTGGCTGCTTGTATCTTGCATACTGCAGTGCTTCTGTGATCCATCTCATGTCCCTCCAGATCTCATCAATTTGCTGTGAGGAAAACAATAGTGACAAAATACAGTTAAGTATGAGTATTAATTCTACCTAAGTGTGTTCTTTTTCAAGTGCAAGTCTGTAGTCACTGCCAAGAGAGAGCAGTGTGATCCCCCAAAAGATTGAGGAGGTCTGAACTGATTTTGGTTAAGAGGCACCTCAATTAAGAATGTGTAGTTAGGAGGGGTGAATCCAGACCTAAAATCTGACATGGAGAGAAAATGAAAATTGTATTTTGATGGAGTAAAAATATGATCAGTTTATAGCACACCTGGAAGTTGGTTTGATTCTGCACTGGAATAAAAGTGAGAGATCTGGAGCATCTTTGCAAACCCAGGTCAAAGCAATTGCTCAGGTCAGACCTAGTTTTTATCAAAGAACATACACATGTGCAGATACATAAATGGAGGGCAGAAGCACAGCTATGAGCCAAACTGCAGTTTTCCCTTACCATTTTAGTCTCCATACATTTTAAAAGTATAAATCTACACAAAAGCAGTAGTAAGACATGCCTTTTGATGGCAATAAGAGACAAGTGCCTAAATCAATAGCAGGATTTAAGTTAAGTATCTCTGCAGAGAGGAAAAATGCTGTTTAATGTGGGTCTGAAGAGTGTTTTGATAATTGAACACTTTCAACATCTTTAAGCATCATCTTCAAGCCATTCAAGATCTTTGATGGCTGAGCAAATGTTGCAACCATCAAATGAGAGTAGCTGTGAGTAAATACCCTCCTGCTGCAGTGTCCTTTCTAGAATTTCCCGTGCACTTTTCTACAGAAGGTTCTGAATGTCAAGTGAGCCTTCTTATTAATACTGCAGTGTTTGAGGGAAGCTGCCTTGCAGTTACACAAGCTACATTCTGCAAGAATGCAGTGGGAGTTCAGTCAGTAATGGAGAGGCAAAAGTGAGGGGTGCTCTGTGCAGTGACAATTGTCTGCTGGGGAGTGCCAGAGGGATCAGAGAGCCTGCTGACTGATATTTGAAGGCAACTTCTCTTAGCTGGAGATATTTCACAAAATGCATATTCAAAGTGTGAAAGTTACTCCCAAGGGATGCTGTAGATGCCAGATTTGCTGGGGTAGTTCCTGATGAGCTGTGTTGGAGGCAGGATAGCTGGGCAGCTGGATCTTGGTTTTGACCTAGTATGGCCATTTTTATGTAAAGGTGAAATCCCGACTCCAATGATGTCAGTGCAAGCCTTGCCACTGAGTTAATATGAGCTAAGAATATACATCAATAAGAATAGAAAATGGTTCAGAGATTAATTCATAATCCTGCATAATTTCAAGACTTCAGTGTAGCTCCATGAAGAGAATTCCAGTTAGCAAACATCTTACCTATTTGATTTTAGAGATTTTATACATCCTTTCTGTGATCCTCCCTCAACCCCAAACAAGAACCATCCTGCATGCAGTTTATTAAAATGCAAATCCTGTTGGGATTCTCCCAGGACATTGTAATGTACGGTAGTTCTTTTACAATTTAGGAACATTGGAAGCATTACATGATAGGACTTACAGCTTAACTTCAGTTTTAGTTTCAGTGTCTGTAGATTTCTTTCCTTTCTCTGTAACATTTTGGTAAAGATTCCAGGTACCTTACATTCTGGCTGGGGTTTTTTTCAATAATTTTTACTTTTCAGTTGCCCTCTGACTCCTTTTCAGAACTGCATTTATATAGAGTCCCTTGCTCTTTACAATGTTTGGTTTGTGTAGTGACTTCAACACTGTCTTAGATCTGGGATCACACAAATGCTCTTGTGGTTTCGTGGTCACCACTGAAGATTGTGGTATGTGGTAGGCAGAGATATTTTTGCCAATAGGTGGAATGCAGCTGGTTTTCATTTGAGAGGAAACCTGACAAGCCTAATACACTGTCACAATAATTCAGCACAAAACACAGAAGTTTAAAACGTTCTTCCATATTTTCCCAGCATAGATATGTGACTCAAACACTTCGGAGAAGAGGAACACTGAACTGTCTATACAGTACCTGCATATTAATATAAAAATGCTTGGGTTTTATGTGAAGGGTAACAATATTCCAAATTCTCCTGCAGACTGCAAGAAAGCTAGATTTTCTGAGTGTGAGAATGGGGTGACTGAGAGTGGGAGTACAATGGATCTTCCCTCTCTGCCCTGCTGCAGGTTGCCCAAAGCTCCAAGTGGACAAGGCAAAGGGGGTCTGCATATAGAACAAAGATAAATAGAAATATTATCCTTTTGTTCTGTGGAGGGCCACACATCTTGTCAATGGGATAAATGGTGTCTTGGCCCCTATTCCAACAGAAGAGAGCTGGAATATTAAGATATAGAGCTGAAAAGTTATTTGCATCTCTCTTGTAGAGAGACAGGTCAACCATGCCCATAGATATACTCTGCAAAAGTAATGAGCTTTATCTATAAATAACCAATGATCAAAATCATTTGCAAAAGGACAAGATTTACTGTGCTGTGCAATGGAGTGTAGTTCAAAGAGTCCTGAGTTGAGTAGGTAAAGTCTTGATTTGGGAGCAGTAGAGGAAAATCAGGATGAGGAACAGAGAATAAGCAAATTGGACAAGTGTGGTAACCCTGGGGATCCTCCTGCACTGGAGGACTGAAGCAGTGCCACTGCATGGTGCTGGCCAGGCTCACAGCTGCTTTTGGGGCCAGCTTGACATCTGAAATGCAGAGCTGTGTCCCTGAGCGTGATATTGTTGGTGGAGATTGTCTCCACAACCTAGTCTGAATTTTCATTTTAATTTTTTTAATTGCCAAATTATTGTGGTGAAAAATGTCCCCAGTTCATACAGACAAAGAAAAACTCTTACACAAATGAATGCCCAGACATGGTGCTAGCTTACCTCACGTTAGATGGGAGGGAGTTTTACAAGCAGACTGACACATTTCTTTATAACAGTCTAGTATAACTGTCATTTGATTTTACCCATAAAAATCCTTCTATAAAAGCAACAACTAAGGAAAGCATGTTCTGGGTTTGAATTTCATAAAAACAGAATTGCACTTTTGATACAACTGCTCTTTTTATGATGTCTGTGAATAATTCTCCATTTAGATTTCAAATTACAGCCCCATGCAATTTTTAAGAAAGCCACCTTAAAATCTCCTTGGAATAGTCAGAAACAGACTATTACCTGTATGTAGTCTATAACTTGCTGGTGTCTTTGTTTGGCTGCAGCGACTTCACTGTCTGAAATTGCTTCCCTCAGGGACTGCTGGGTTTTCAGAGAGTCCAGCTCTATGACAGCAGAAAGGCGGCAATACAGGCTTATAAATTTTTCCTTGTAACAGCAAAAATGAGCTGTGAAAAGACCAAGTGCAAAGGAAAATTGTTACATTCTGGTTATGAAATATGAAATCCTTAGCTTTCAGAACACAAATTTTATTAAATATAGTAACTAACTCTTGATGGGTTTCTTTAAGCTAGAAATGAATAATACAGGCTTCAGTTCTCCTCTCATTTACACTGGATTTACTCCGTAGCTTCACTGATTTCAAAAGAGTAATTTCTAATTACATCTAAGTGAAGGGATAATCAGGTCCTTAGTATGCAGCTCCAGAGGCTATCTTGCCTTTGATAGCTTTAATCAGAAAGGCTATTTCTGAGGCTTTTATAGCTCATCATTTCTTTTATCAAGAAAGTAGTGACATGGCTGGAAAATGAAACTAATATTTAATTTTTTTCTTAAATTGAGTGTTTCAGAATGAAACAAAAAGTTGAAGGCTGATAACTTTCTCTTGGACTGTGCTGACTTAAATCAGAAACTTCAATGTAAATGACTCAGCAGGAAAGGCATTGCACTGTTATCACAATTTGGGAGAAATAATTAAAACTTTTTTAGGTGTTACCACACATCATCTTCTGAACTCTTCTGCAGAAGGGTGACACAGAAAGTTCAGACATGACCTCTTGCTTTGTGTAATTTGACTTTGGAGCAGCACAGAACTATCCTCTTTACCAGAGGTAACAGAGACAGCATAGCTACAGTGCCATGGAGCTTTGCAAATGTCAATTTATCCAGTGTGTTAAAGATACATTATTCCAGGACCTGCCACTGCTCAGGCAAAGCTGAGCAGTTTCCTCCCCAAATGGCAGTGCAGACGTACTCATACTTGCTGAGGGAGAGCGAGTTTTCAGAAATACTTCCCCATTCATTGGTGCTGCAGTAAATGCAAACATACAGCTGACCCTGTTAGAGCAGCGAGTGCCAGTGGGATTTACTGCTGCTGCTCCCCTGGACTGGGACAGGGCATTTTTCAGGGTGTTCCAGGTGTAAAATGCATATATTCTTCTCATGAAAAATATTTAAAAAAAGAAATGAAAACAGTGTCCCGTGTCTACTTATCCCTTACAAACAACATGATTAGAATAATTGAGAAGAGTTTGTTCAACTGAGAGATCCAATCACAGAAACATTTTTAGCATTAACAATAAAGGCCTAATCTGAACACAGACATCTCACAAAAAAGAGTGAAAGAATGAATTCTACCTTCTGGTTTCAGCAATGCCTAGATATTGCAGGGATCCAGTGTGAATAGTGTGTGGTCTTCCAGTACATATGCCATATGTGGTGGACTCTTGAGTGAATTACAGCTGCGGTTTCGGCTCCAGTGCTGAAGTTTCGAGCCTTTGTGGTTTTAAGTCAGACCCTTTAATGTTACTTTAACAAATGTTACTTCAACGTAGTCTTTTGTGGTTATGCAATTATATAGTTGGTAGCCACCAGCTAATGGGGAATGGAAGCTTCTAATATTTGAGATGTGAATCACAGTCACTTTATAGAACATCAGGGATACATATATAATAAGTCATATTGAAATGTCATCTGCCTTTGGCCTGAGGATTGCTTACTTAAAAAAATACTCAAAAGTAAAATTCAGCTTTCCATACTGTTTTCTCCACCATGAACTGTTTTCCCACTGTAGCAACATTGCAGAACAGAGAAGGTTGCACCAGGAATGCCTTTTGGGAGGTGGCTCTGTTGCATGTTTGGTGGCACCGCACCATCCCATGCAGGCTGTGTCCCTGAAATGAGAGGCACTCCTGCCCCTGGCCTGTGTTCCACCTAATGAGAATCAAATAGCCTGCACAACCTCTAGTGAGGAGATTAATTACATCAGAGATTAATATGCTCTGTGGATTAATTTGCATAGCAGGGCAGCAGGCCCCCTCACCAGCACCAATGATGTGCTCCGTGCTCAGAGGCCAACAGGCTTCAGGGTGGCGCATCAGAAGATAAAAGTCTGGCTCTAGGGCACTGCAGCCACGGCCATGCGACCCAAAGCACTGAGCTAACTCTTGTATTAGCTGTCCTTTGAAGGGGTAACTTCTCCTTGGCAGGCTACACCATGTATTGTGTGGCTGTTCCACTCATAATTGTGTGGCAGCTCAGCTGGCATCTGTCCTCCCACAGGCAGTAGAAAGCCCCAGAGCTGTCACAGCACCACAGTGGGCTGTGGCTCATGTGCCATAAATCCACTGCTGCTGCAAATGCCTGATCCAAATGAAATTTGTGTTGCTGGGTGATGGTAGGTCATGGATGAGTAGTGACTACAGAAACACAGGCAAGGCAACACCCTCCATGAATATCTAACCTCCTACATAAATGATTTGAGCAGCACTTGGCTCTGATAGGAAGGTAATGGTGTCACACAAACCTCTGACAGGGACATCACTGGGACACAGCTGCCACTAGAGCCTTTCCTGCAGTGGCTCCTGGTGCACTGACTCCATCAGTTTTGGCTCATATCTTTCTCTCTTCTTGAAGGCAGAGGAAAGAAAGATCTCCAGTTTTACAGGCCAGAAAGAAACAGAGCAGACTGACATGTAAGGCTCAGCAGCCCCCACATTTTAATATTCTTTCTAAAAAGAACTGTTAAGTCTTTATGAGCTGCTTTTATGTGGAACCTTTTCTTTTCTCTGTGGACCAAAGAAGAAAAAATGAGAAATAGAGGACCTTGAAGCTAAAGCATCTTATGTCTTCTGTGAAACAGCTGGAAAACTTTGTTTTGGGAAATTCTTGCCCAGTCAGCAATGCAGTGGAAGAAGAGAGCTGAATCTGCTACAGCAGAAGATGTGCTCTCCAAAGAAAGAGATTCAAGTCCAGTGCTTGGGCATTTTTCGCAACAGGCTTTTGGTGCACCACAGCAATAGGACAGTCTCCTGCATTTTTCCAGGTATCAAAGAGAAAAAGATGCCCTTCATATGGGAAAATCTATTCAGACCTTTCACAAAGCTGTAAAGGAGTCAGACCTTGAGTAGGACCATCTATAATCAGGATCTGCATAAATCCCCATTACAGAACCAGCAATTATCCTTGCGACAACTTAGAGAGATGTTTTTTGCATCTCCTGTCACACTCCAGCCTTGCTGTGTCATGTGCAATATCTCTTGGTTCTGATTTTTAAAGAACATCATCTTGCAAAGCAGCTTATAGACACATAGTGGATGACTGTGGGCCTTGCTGTCTGCTCTGCATTTCAATAACGATGGCTACAGTGCATGCTTTAACTGCCCTGCTCCCTCTGTAACTTGTACACCGTTCTAGGGAGTGTTGTTGCCAAAGCCATCATGTGATTTATTGACTCTCCACTGGGACAAGGGGGAAAACAGATACAACTTTGTGATTTTATTATAAGGAGACTGGGTTAATATTTCTAGGTGAAGCAAGCTACTATACCAAGTTCAAACATCTGAAGAGGGAGGTTAAGAAATCCTGAGTGTGGGGTGTAAGGATTATTCTGTCCTGGGGCAGTGCAGACGTCGTCTGAGGCGGGGAGCAGGAGAAGAAAGGAGACATTGTGACCCAGTTCCAACACCTCCTGTGTGTACAGACGGAAGTGCTTAGCCTGTACGGGGACACGCGCGGGGGAAGGAATAGGAGAGAATTACAACATGGCACTTATATAAACAACACCCCAAATGATATAAAACATTAAAGAAAATTTGCACAACATCAAGCTCGGAATTTTTATAAAACGTAAATATTTGGGGCGGGGGGGGTGTGGTGGTGGCTAAATGTGGGTTCATGTCACTACATAAAATAAAGATTTAAAGCTGCAATGTTCCACATTAAAACAACACACACAGGCACAACCCCCCTGAAAACAACATTTATGTTTCTTATTAGGCAGAAAATGATCACATGCCATGTGCTTTTCAAGATTATGATTGCATAATTATGTGAAAACATGAAAATGGATTCAATTAAAAACCTTTAAGATTCAATTTAGGGTTGGTTAAGAGAAATATGCAGCTCTCCCTCAACACAGCACTGAAAAGGTTTAACAAGTGCTGCAGCAAGAGAAAACGGCCCAGGCAGAAGTGGCCTGAGGCTGCTCAGAGCTGCTGTGCGCAGCACTGCCTTCTGCCCTGGCTGTGCCCCAGTGCCACTGTCCCTGCTCCTAGTTACCACAAAAATAATAAAAATACATAAATAAATCCGTGGAATTAAAAATGCAATTCATTAACATAAAAGCTTGGTGCTGAGCCATCAGACCATTTGCATCTGTGTTGAACTGCAAGGTCATGTTGATATCCATCTCTCAGGCACAATGCATGAGCTCAGATGCTTGGCTGAGGAACATATTGCACAGTGATTTCAATATTTTAGTCCCTAACTCTAAAAGAAGAGAAGAAAAGTTGCACAAAAGGTATAACCTCCAAGCAAATGCAGTAATATAGAAACCTGTACAGAGCCCTATTGAATTAGAGCGACTGACCACAAGGCAGCACACCATCTGTCTTAATTTTGGATTTACTTGAGTCTTACTTGGCTCTTCCCTAGCTACAAGGTGAAGCACTGATGGATTCCTTTTTAAAAGCAAAGCCTAAACCTTTCAAAATCAAAAAATGTAGAACCAGGTTAATTTATTTTAAGACCACATCTTTTTAGCTGGACAAACAGACTTGAAGTGATATAAAGATGATTTACTTCTACTTTAAGACCTCTTTACCTTTGCAGACCAAAATAAAATGGAATTCATGTAAACAAGAAACAAACTTCTTAGCTTATTTTTTCATGGATCTTGCACATCATAGATTATTCTCCCTGACTTTATTTATTCACATATGCATTTCTTGTACCTAAATGTAAAGCCAGAAGCCAGACACCTCTCCTCACCCACAGAAATCTAGAGGTCTGGGACTTTGTGTTTTAGAAGGGGTACATTCATCTGTGTGCAAAAACCAGCAAAATGCGGTGTCTTTGCTGGGCCTTTCCTACAGCCTCACTTAGAGTGTCCCAAAAAACTGTCACTTGCTGTACTTGCCTGCAAAAATGCCTCTTTTTCTTTGTCAGCTTCGTAAAGGTGCTCAAAACTACAACTTTCCTGCAAAATTGCCTATTTGGACCTGCCTGAAGTTGCACAAATAAGCTAAAAGATGAAAAAAAATAGCAGGCAGTTGAAATTTGCCTCTTAATCCTTGAGTGTTCACATGTCCAGGACAAGAACTGTTTTACTGAAGATGTTCCCCCTCAGAACAATGGAATACAAAACTTCTCTGCTTTGTTTTTCAGTGACACAGTTTTGTAGCTTTTTGCTGTGTTTTTAAGAATGGGGTATTAAAAAGGTGATAAATCCCACAAAGGCAAATACCTGATGCAGAGGTAGATTGATCTGTTTGAGGAGAGCTTTCACTGCTGTCTGGAGCTCATACAAGAACAATTGAGTAGGGCAGTCTGAAGTATGATCCATACTTTCCACAGATTCTGAGCCAGAAAGTGTTTGGATCCATTCCCACTCATCTCTGTATGTTGAGTCAAGTTAAAATTAGAAATATAACAACAGTTCAATGCACAAGCAGGAATTCAGTGTATGTGCATTTGGGGTCTGTTGATAGTTTAATCCTCATATACCAAAACATTCTAAACTTGTGCTATCTTGATTGAACTTGGAAAAGTTTTATTTTTCTAGCACATGTACCTCAGGCTGAACATTCCTCTGGAAGTCCAACTGCCTTTGAAATATTTCAGTAAGGCTTCTCACTCCAGGTTTTCTCTTTCACATTCTGCATTCCCTATCTACCACAATATTTTAAAAAACATGCATTTGAAATTGCTACAATTAGCAGGAAGTTTGATCTCTGTGAAGGACTATCTTCTACTGACTGCAGCCAAAGAACTTCCTGCTTTCCTCCATGTGTCTCTGTTTGAGACCTGATAAACATGGGAATCCTAGTTCTGGATCCAATCCCTAATTCACCCTGCCTAGTATTCAGTCTTGAATAGCAGCCAGCATCAAACATTAAAAAAAAAAAAGAATGTACAGGAAACCCCACTACAAGACAAGTAATAGTTGTGGTATAATCTGTTCCTAAATAAAGATCTGATCTGAAACTTCAGGAGTCAGGGATTGCTATAAACTCTGAAGCCTTTGCCTTTCTATTCCTTCCAACATTGTTGTTAGTATTCAGTATTACATTCTGGATATTCTCATTGTCTATGTAAATATCCAGTTCCTTTTTCCTTGTGCAAAATTCTCAGCTGGTTGCTGAAATCATACAAGAATAAAAAGCTCCAGAAAAAGATCAATAAAATGTGTTTTCCACTGGGCAAGGACCAGGCAGTACAAACAGGGCCCTTGCCAATGGATAAGGGGAGCAGTGGACAAGGGGAAAATGGCTTTTCCAAAGCACAGAAGTTTGCTGGCTTGTTGCATTTATAAATATGGTTTTCAATTGCTGTGGGTTTGCTGTGGTTTAGGGTGAAAAAAACCAGATATCACACAAGACAATAAACAGAAAAATTCCCCACAGCAACACTCCACAGTCAGTGAAAATCCATGGAAAGGGTGGCACTGAATCCACTGAAGGCTGAGTCAGGGCTGCAGGCTATGATCTTCTGAACAGGTCATTGCCCCTGTGCAGGGCTGGAATAACCATGGAATACCATCCTTAGCAACCAATGGGCCCCATCCATGTGCTCTGGGTGGGTTCTCAGAGTGCTGGGGAAGCTCAGGTGCACCCGTTCAGTCCAGCAGGGCTCTCTGGGATGGCACAGCCTGGAGCCAAACCCTTCTGCCACACTCCAGAGCCAAACCATGCTGCACCTACAGCTTTGCAATGGCAGAATTGCCTTGGCATTAGCATTTGATCAATTGTTTCAAACTTAAAACAACTGTTCTCTCTCTCTCTGTGTAAGTAAATCTCTGTGTTCACTTACTTGGAGACGTTGCTGTTGTCTCGGATTTTGACGTGGCACAGGACATTGGGCAGCTTCTGCAGCACGAGCACTTTGATCTGATCCACGGAGCTGCAGAGCTTCAGGTAGCCCAGGTACAGGCCGGGAGGGAGGCGCTGCTGACTTCGTTTGTGATAGGAAAGTATGTCCTGGTTTGAGGGAAACAGTCCTACATAAAATCCTCTTCTCTTTTTCCACATAAGCAGAAGAGTTTGGGTGCAAAAAGCAACAAATGTTTTTACAGCCGCCGTTCCCAATTCAAAAAGCACTTAAGCACATGCTTAAGCATATGAATAATCTCTGGTAGCTCGGGTGCACTTGGACAACTTCTCACTTAAAGCCATACACAGGATCTCTAAGGTCTCTGTGTCATGCAGGAATTGGCTCTGACAACCTGAGGTTTCAATCTTCTGCAACTGTGGTGTTTAAACTGGCTTAAATGACCCCCACCTCTGCCTCCTGTCTGATCATTTCAGTGGTGAGCCAGGTCAGGGAACTGATTCCTCTGGAAAACAACTTGGGAAAAGGAGCAGTTGTTTTTCAGCTGAGCAGTTCCCTGGTTTGGGTTTGGTTGGTGGCTGCACAGAGGGAGCAGGGCAGCCCTGGGGCAGAGCTGGGAGAGAGGGGCTGCAGGAGCCAGCGCTGTCCCCAAGGAGATGCCAGCCCACATCTCCCCAAAACCTGCTCTGTGTCACCTGCTGTCAACAGGAAGATCTCTGTCAGCATGGGGGTTGGTGGTTTGCAAAACTGAGCAAGTGGCAGCGTTTTCTGAACAAATATCTTTATCAATAAATAGAGCTTAGAGGAAATTAGTATTGATGGCGAATTTGCTGAGGCCAGGAGACATTTTTAGAGCTATGTATAGCAGTTCTCCAAAACTACCTGAAAAATGATGTCTGCTGCCATCCATCCCGAGAAATGTGTGCTTCTGCAGTGGGTGAGGATTAAGACACCTGGCCCTGTGCCTTTACTCTTGGAACCATCAAATTATCTGCCAGTGCTATGCTTGGCTCTGACCAGTGCAATTAGACCCTCATTTTCACAAGCACTTCATGAACAAAATACCCACTCGATGATTAAACAAGTAATAGAAGAAAGGGTGGGCATTAGATAGGAATGTGTAAACCATTAGGGGAACATTTTTTCCACTAGGATCTCTGTGGAAATCTGATCAGGACTTTAGTTTGCTTTTCCTAATATAAAACTTTTGCCCAGATTGACAATTTTCTGCACCTTTAACACATTGTAATACATTAAATCTAGCATGGATCAGGTAAGTTTTATTGTCTTTTGGAAATTTTTTAACATTCCTAAAACGTGGTAACATATATTTTGATTGCCTGTCACTTCCCGGTATGAAAAGCAGAGTCTGTGCCCCAGAAAGTGCCTCTAATTCAAAAATTACCCACAGCAGCCATCATCTCATGGACAGTGCTAAAGAAGGGACTAAAACAATGATTTGTCTTGTAATTTTGGGTAATTGTGTGACAGTTTTAGGGAGATTGGCTGCTGTTACCTACAGAAAACATGTATTAATCTTAACATGGACTGTCCCTGTTTAATGTGTGTTCAGACATAATTCTGAACCCCCACTCAGGGATGGTAACTGAGCTGAGTGTGCCAAGCAGCTTCTGAGATCAGTCCTGACCTTGGCATTTCTCTAATTGCAAGTCTAGGAGCATGTGATGCAGAAATTAAAGGAGGGTTATGGTCAGTTAAGGATTTCTTAGTGGCCATACCAGGCTCCAAGGAACCCTGAACCTCACAGAACAAGCTTATTAAGTAGAACAGTAAAGTTTAAAACCTAGATTTAGTTTTCAAGGTTGGATGGAAAAATCTTACAGAGTGTAGAAATTCTAAGTGTCTGTATAGGTGCTTAAGAACATCCCAGAGAATTTTAAAGCTTTTTTATATCCCTTGCTACAAAATTCCATAGCCTGGTTTCCTGAAATTGATAGAAACTACAATTCTCTGCTAGGACTTTGAAGTAATTTCTTTAGAATCTCATGGATATTTTGCATATTAAGGATCTGATCCCAGATCCACTGGAAGTAATATAAGTCTTTGCTCTCAATGGGAGCCTTGCCATTAATTTTATTGGGCACTGGACTAAGGCCTAAAATTCTACAAGACGCTTCCAAAAAGGGGGGCTCTGGCACAGGCTTTACAAAAGCAAATAACACACAGTAAGAGAAGCAAAGCACTACCTGGATTGTTATAAGCAAGATGTCTAATGCTGTTGGCTCCTCTGGAGTTGAGAGGGATTTCCTCTGGCTTTGTAGTTTGGATACCTGCATCCATTTGCCATTAAAAAATGAGTACAGGCTCTCCACTTCTCTCACAGTAACTATCAGCATATTGCCATGGCGATCCTTGATGGGCTCGTAAAAAACTCTGCCTAAATTGTGAGTTCCCAGCAAATTCTAGAAAACGAATACAAAATGAAAGTTATTTATCACATATCAGGAGAGTATCATTTGAAACATAATTTTGTGCTCATTGACATCACTCCTGTTAGCTTCACTAAGAATGAGGCACATTCTGTGTTTCTCAAACTCTTGCCTTACAGTCATATCATTTAGTGACAAAAGGAAATGTTTTCCCTTAGGCTTTGTTGTGGATTGAGTTGTGGATCCGCTGATGTATTTGGTCCAGCAGTGCTTACTCCAATTTTTAATGGAGAACCTCAGAAAGACTATTATGTCCCAATGCCTTTGTAAAAGGCAAGTTAATTCACCTATTTACTGCAAAGAAATTCACTTATTTGGGCCAAACTTCCTGGTTTTGCCCAGTCATGTAAAGATGAAGGATGCTATTTTTGAAAGCACTCATTGGTCTGCTGGTGATTCCTTTGATTTGAATTTGCATAAGAGTTGGGTGCTTATCTGAACCTTCCCACACCCAAATGTCAGAGATCATATAAAATTCTTCCTTTTCCCCCAAATCACTCCTAACAGACACTTTAAATATTTTTTTGCTATGTTCATTAGCTGTAATCTCCATTCTCTGTTCTCCATTTTAAAATTACTCAGATTATTTTCAGCAACAAAAACAAGAGACCCTCAGGTTTGTGCTGAATGTAAATAATTCTGGAGCTAAACTGTGCAGTGTGTTTGTGAAGCACAGGATTTGAAGAGACACGAATCCTTTTACTTCAGATACCAAGAATGTGCTAGACAAAACAGGCAGAAACTCACAAAACTACCAAGGCAAAGCTCTCCAGGAAAATATGTGAGGATTAAAGAAAAGTAATTTAAAAAGACTCCACATAAAATACATATTTTGGTTAAAATCCCTTTCCTCACACAGTAAGGCATCTGCTTATAGGTGCAAACACACTCAATCCAGTGACCAGCCACTGAAGAGATTCCCAGATGTTGTAAAGAAAAATGCATAACATTTAAAATATGCTCATTACTTTGTGATTTTTCAAGAGATCTACAGTAAGCTGGATAGGGAGAAGGGTAGTGTAAAAGGAAAACTGAATTCACAATGAAGCACATTGTATCTTTGGGGAAGTGCTGTACATTAACTTAATGACATTGTAAACCGATAGATTATACTGAAATTAATTATCTGCAGTTAGCAGGCAATATTTACTTATCAACTTTAATATTATGAAATTGTTTATAAACTCTCAGCAGTCAGCACAGTGCCTGGGTTTGGGCAGTATAAGTTGTTTATTGCAGCTTTGTGCATCTCTTTCCAGGGCAGACTGTTGGGGTCCATACAGCCCATCTCCTGTGCATTGTTTAGCTGCTCTGCCTTTTGGGGTTTGTCTCCTTCTCTGACTGACTCTGGCTGTCTTGAGTGTACATTTTGTGCTAATCCCTGTGTCTCCAGCTGGGGCAGATCCTGGCAGTAGTCCTTAGCCATCTAATTGTCATATTAATTACTGCAGCACATGAATGTGCCCAGATGAAAACAAACAGTTCTTTATTGTCACTATGTTGTGAATGACATTCCAGCACAGGGAATGGGGGACCCACTTATATCAATATGGGACTGATTCATGACCTAAAAAAGTTTTGTGTCTGCTTAGCTTGTTACACCATCACTTGTGCTTTGTTTGCTTTAGTTGTCTGGTGGTAGCAACAGGCAAAGTTGCCGTCCCTGTTGTCTCTCACTCTACTGATCTAGTCCCTGAGCAGCTGTGTCATCACTGATCTTTTCCATTCTGTCCTGAATTCCTGCAGAGTCAGTCTATTAACTGCCTCAATAAAAAGTATTCAACCATATGAACTTTATTGAGATCCTTCTGTTGGTGGATCCCATGAGGCCATGCACCGTTGGCAGCTGGGTGACAATGCCGGTGCTCCTCGAGGACCAAGCAAGCAGAACAGACATTTAGGGCAATACATTTGGCAAAACTTCAGCAGGGAATACACCAGATGGGCATATTTGCTGTGTCTCTGTGTTTCAAGCTCTGCATTTTGCCTCCCTGATAGCCAATAAGGCCATGATGCCCTGGGGATGTTGGGTGTCTCCCAGGGCAGATTTTTGTTCAAGGGGATCTGCACAGGGGGGATGGAGCTGAGCTAACCAAACCTGTGCCACCTGAGCTGAGCCAGCCCCAGGGGGGGAACATTCAGCAGATCCAGTTAAAACTTCCCCTAGTGACAGCTCCAAGGATGACAAGCAGCTGCTGCCTTACACAGGTGTTCCCCCAATAATGTGCAGCAGGCTGGGCTTTGGGGCACGCTGGGGAAATCTGACAGGTGGCTGCCCAGGAAAGCTGCACAGCATCCACCAAAAGGTGTAAAACAAGCCCCCATGCATATTGTCAGCAGCGAGTGGTCCCACAGTGTGTGTGGGGCTGCACACCAGGTCACTGTGACCCAGCCTGGGGGACGTGTGGACAGAGTGACCAGCAGTGTCCAGCAGTGTCCAGCACTGAGCATCTGCAGCAATGCCAGCAGTGCACCACTGATTTTCTGGGAAGTTCTGGTGGCTTCAACAAAAGGTAGGAGAAAGTGAGGCCTGGATATACTTTTTCCATAACAACCATGCACACAGCTTTTTGGAAATGTATTTTCCCACAAAAGGAACTATTTTAATGGAAGTGTCTGCCTGCCATCTAGAGATTTCATGTTGTCGTGAAACCCAACTTAACCCAACTTCAAAGCTTTGCAATAAAGATAGAAATGTTCTGCTGGAGAAAGTGTAATTTCTGTTTGCATAACAAGTAGTGAACTGAGACACAGAAGGATTTAAGTGACCTGTTCAGTAACACTCAGGTTGCATCTGTTGCAGGGGCTGGAATGGAACAGACTTTAAATGCTCCATTAAAAGACTAATAATTAATAATGAGTAGGCCTATAAGAGTCTATCAAGAGCAAATATTAGGATTATAACTTTGAATTCTCAATCTGCAAACTCACAGGCTTCTCTGGCTGGTCATTATTTACTGCTTCATACCTGTTTGTTTCTTTGTCTATTTCTTTTGTTCTTTCTTCCTATTGTTTCTTTCCTTTGTTATTCCTACTCTTTACTTCTATTATAACTCCTTCCTTCCTGGCAGGAGAGACTCAGTGCCTCATTTCTCTGGAGATGAGGTTGCTGCTCCAAAGAACAGTCCTAGGGACAGCTGGCAGCTCTGTCCCTTGCAGAGCAGAAGGTCACTGAGTTAACAGCCAGAAATGTGCCATGGGACCCACCTGTAGCTGTGCTGCTGCTGAAAGCATCTTCTGCCTGGCCTGGAGTGCAGTGGAGGAGGACACAGACACTGCCATGTTCTGCCTCAGCCACCTGATGTCATCCCACATGCACGACAGCTGCAAAAACACATCCACTTCAACCAGCTCTTGTTCTCAGCATTTGCAAAAGCAGAAGTGATACTAAAATGCAATTTGGACTTGAAAAATCAGTAGATACTGCACATTTTGTGTTTCTGCAGATGACAATTCAGCTGACTGGATAAACATGGCACAGATACTGACACAGGAGGTATTCTGTAAACATCATGAACCTGTTTCAATTGATTTTGGACTGCTGTGCAAAACTGATTTACTGTTCTTTGTGGTATAAGAAAAGTAGTGTGAGACAACTTGAGTGATGGCACAACCACAATACCAAATTTAAAACCCCTGGTTATTTCTTTAGGCTCTTGCTCTAAATGTCCATAAAACCTGTAAGTACCCACATAGCAATCACTCATCTAGGATCATACCTTAAGAGTTAATTGTATCACTGTCAGTGGCCCAGTCAGGATTTAATCCACTTGACTGGTTTGTGAAAATTGCCTTTAACATGAGTGATAGAGCATTTCATCATTCAGCTTTTTACTGACATAATTTCATACATTCAGAGTGATGAGCTGAGGCCTATGCATTGCTAGCAACACATTTGCAGAAGCAGTAGATGAAATGAGACTCCCATTACCTTTGTGAACCACAGGAAATCCTGCATAACTGAACTACTGTGAGAGTCATCGATTTCCACAATTGGGATTTGATCTTCATTGGTTACTAACAAATTGTCTTTGTAAAAAAGTATAACAGATAAGTAGAGTCCCCTAAAGAGAGAAGGAAACACTATCAAACACCTTTCATGTCTATTCACATCCATGCCAAATTTAGTCAAAGAATCATAGAGGTCAAGTTCTGATGAGACAAAGTGAATCATCTGGTCTAAACTTCTGTGTAATATAAGGTCATGCATCTTCAGCCAGTAAATTCTGAAAAATATCTGGGAAGTTGATCACTTCAGATAATGTGAGACTACGTGAATCTAAGAGATCTGTGCAAGCCACTGACATCAGTTTCAGTGAGAATTTTGCCAGAGTACACAGTACACAATGGAGGCCTTATGCCCTTTGGAAATCAGAAATTTTACTTTATCATTAATGTGCTTAGCTCTGGACTCCTTTACTTCAGAGCAAATCTGAAGTAACTCTATTGAAAGTAACTTATTGAAATAAGGTGGATAATTATGGATTTACATTGGTATAATTGAGTGTAATTTGGCCAACATATCTGCAGACCTGTTTATAGAGATCATTCCTTTCAATATTTACCCTCACAATTAGTTACATATGTTAAATGGTTACTGCAGGGAATTTAAAGACTCTGGAGAGCTCTTCTGAAAGAATCAAAATCTTATCAAAATACAAAGAAGAAAATGCAAATTGAACACTCCTGGCAATGGAAGAAGAAATAATCCAGAATAAGCAACTCCCATTTGCTAAAACAAATAATTAGGGCTGAGAGTTGGCTCACAGTGGGCTGCAAACCCAGCTGAGGATGTCAGAGTTCTATGTGTGTAGCTTGTTGCCAGTGGACTATTCAAGTGTTATCTGAGCTCTGTGCTTTATATTATGAATGAATAAATGTTGTAGTTTCATTAATGAGCAGCAACAGAGGCAATGCTTTCAAACAGCTCAGTAGCTGCACTTTGGGTTTACACAGAATATTTCACTCTGTAACAATTTGAATCCACTTCCAAAAGTAACAAGGGAAACATTCTATTGATTTCAGTAGGAGCTGCAGCATTATTTTCCTGTCAGCTGCGCCAGTCCTACACATCTGTGATTTTATCACTTCGTTCTGACCAATTGCTGTCTCATCAGTAGTGGCATATTCACACATATTTCTAAGGTTCTTTTCTCTAATACACAACAACAACTGCCAAAATTCAGAATGCCTGGAACAGAGAAGGAATGACAAACCGTTTCAGAGTCTTCACAAACTTGTTTGATGAATGGAAAAGGTGCTTCAGGCTTCTGGAAACCGATTGCTTGCGACCAGCATTTTGTAATTTAGAGCTTTCTGAAATGGGAAAAAGAAGCAAACCCAACCCAGCTCTTAAATTTCAGTTAGTGTCTCATAAAAAACCTTTGTTTCTTGAACCACAGTACTACATTTCAGTCAGTGCCCATTACATTCCTTTCAAAAGACAACATTTAGAAAGATGCTCAAATGCAACCCTTTGATGGTGTTTTCATTAAATTAGTGATACACAGCAGCAAACAATTTCCTTACTTGCTGCAAACTCAGACAAGATAAAGCTGTTTGGCTCTGAGGCAAGCTTGAACCAGCCCTACACACTCTTAATGCTCAGAGAGGATGGGAATTTTACAAGTGGTCTCAAAAACCCAAGAAGGGATTTGAATCATCAGTCAACATTTTTAGGGTGTTGTAATTTCTAAATTTCTTACCACATGTAGCTTAAGCCTCTAAGAAGTGAATAACTGGTGCACTGGCTGACACTGACATCCCAGCATCACCAGTGAAACCTAAGGAAAAGCTTTGAGGAGACCAGATTAACCCTCATCTTTCCCTATATCACATTAAATACATCGGCTGTTGCTTGGATTTTTTTCTCCATCGCAGCAACTTCCTCTCATTATTGCCTCAGAGCTTCCACAATTACCTTTGCTCCCTAGTAATCTGAGTCCAAGGAAGAGGTGTTAAATTCTTTTGTTCACTTCATGTCAAAGCTGAGACCTGTTGTGTGCCTGCCAGCATCTCTGAGCCAGCTCTCCAATAGAAGAATTTATTAAATTGTCCCAATGTTCTAAGAAAAATATTGTTAAATTTTCATACATTGCATTTTTTCACTTTGATGAATTTGACTAAATGTCTTTTCTCATGCATGGCCTTGTAAGCGAAGGAAATATCTTCCCATGGGCGGTGAAAGCCCTGAGTTCTGTAACAGCTGTGAACCCCTGTGTGCCTGAGCAGGTTTGGAGGGGACACCAAGAGGTGGCAATCAGGGACAAGCAGCACTTTATAATGTACTGGCAGTTGCTGTTCATACCTGGATTTGAAAGCAATGGGCATTTAACACTGTTTGGGTTTGGTTTTGGTTTTTGCAGTGTCTGTGCTGTTTAATGTTGTTGCAAGAGAAACAGCAGAAATACTTTGAAAAATGGAGTTAATTATTCAGATATTTGCTGTGATATGAAAGACAAAACAGAAAATGTCACTGTGAAAGTGCATCTCCCTTTTCCAGGATCTGAGTGTTTATTTGGATGAAGCATGGATCCCCATCCAGACTGAAGTGTGAAACTTTTTGAGGGACACCCTTTTTGAGGGACACCCTTCTCCAGTGGGAGAAACCCATGACTCATGAAGAGCCACTTGCTGAAAGCTGCAGTTCATCTGCTCAGGTGTTCTCAGAGTATTTCCCACTTACCTCTGGTGCAGAATAGGAGGGGCCTGCCTGTGTCTCCCTGGTGAGTTCTAATTTTGAGTATTTGAAGAACATCTAAATTTGCTGTTTTCACAAGCCCATCTGTGGAAGTGCTCAGCATATTTAAAATGCTGAATAAATTTGCACCATGATTGGCACATTGAAAGGCCCAGCAAGCAGACACATTGTTAGCAGTAATTACTGCTCTGTGGAACAGCGAGTACAAAGACAACAAGGTTCTGTTGGGGGTGAAATCATACAGTTCAGATGTGTGAGACTTATTAGATCATCACATCCATTGTCTTTCCAGTGCAAACTTGTTCTCCTTGGCATATTCTCCAATTCACTCTTCAGCTTTAACAGACTCATCCAAATCCATGACTACTACTTTGTTTTCTCCTCTTTCAAAAATATTCAATTGTATTTCCATCCATATCTCCTCAGATAATGGTTATTTTACTGTGAACTTTTTTCACTGTATTGCAGTAATGTAAACCAAATGCTACATAAAAACTCCTTTCTTACTGTTTCATTCTTCCAAGGTTAAGATCAATTTAGGAATATAAATTTCATTCTAATTATTTTCTTCTGTATTCCCTCCATCTATACAGAAGAAATGGAGGAGGAAATTACTGAAGGTAAAGCAACATAACTTTGTATAAAACACCAAGAGACTGCAGCATTAAAATAAGAAGGCACATTACAAGTGAAATATATGTTATTGGTCTATTTAGTGGTTTGGGTTTAGTCCACAGCTTTGCAGAAGCCAACAGCAAAAGAATTAATGTAAAACTAGATGGTGATGGTAAACTCTCCTATATTGCTGTTTGCTTTTATTTTACAGTATTGTGTGTCTAAAGCCAGAAAACATGGAGCTGAGATTAGAGGATAATTTGGATCTGCAGGAAATGGAACTTTGTCTGTTACTTAATTAACTAATAAATAACATAGAGTAACCTTCATAGAAAAGCACCAGTAGCAACACAGTAAATTTATATTAACAAATGATACAGAAACTGAGCTGTGAGCTCTTTTAATAGAAGCCTGGGAGTGAGCACATAGCAGCCAAGATGGGAGAATTTCCAGTGATTAGATTTAGATCAGAGGCATTCAAACCTGGTCTGAAATAGGCAACAATTAAATAAGAAAGTGTATTTATGACATTGGCAGCCTTTCTCTTTGAAGGTAGAGGGTGTATAAAGATTTCTTTGCAGTTTTTTATGTAACTACAACCCATACTTAAAAGCAACCTATTGGAAGAATAAGAACCATCCCTTCAAACTCGTGTACATCAGGGGTCTCTTCTTAAATTCTCAACCTGAACTTCTCAATCTATAGCTTGGTTTTTCAAGTCTACTTTTGTATATTCTTACAAAAAATATAATTTAAACATCTTAAATGCCTTGTGGAATCGGAGATTCTTCTCTTAGCTAAATGCAATTAAAACTGTACTTTGCTTGTGAATCAAATTAAAATGAGAGCATTTTATTTCACCTCTGACTTGTCTAGTAAAATACATTTCAACTGAATTTCAGAAGGAAAATGTCTGGTAAGAATTCTACTGAAGAGTTGGGTTCCTTTCTTAATGAAGCATCACACAATTATTTAATCCACTCTGAATTGTTTAGAAAGAAAGATCTAAAAGAAAAAAAAATACTTAAAAATATATTTGAAGTGTTGCCAGGACATACAATTGTTCTAAGTCAGTTATGATAGTCTGTAGCATGGAATTATGAAGACAAATGGATGACTGTTGTTTGTAATCATCAGGGTTTTCCAGAAGATTAAACATATGAAAGCAAAGCTTCTTAAGTAATTCCCTAGGAGATTTCATCATATCACAGAGCAGGTTCAAAAGCAACAGCTGATCTAATTCCAAAAGCTCTTAAACTCACTGTACATTCCAGTGTATTCTTCCTGGTATTTTTGTAAGCTTGTTTTCTCCAGCGCCTGCAATGCAGAGCACAGGGCAGAAGGCAGAGCCTGAATGAACAGACTTGGGCAGAGATCTGCCTGGAATGTGGGCAATGTCCCCTCCCAGATCCCGCAGGAGCAGCAGCACACAGCCTCGTCCTCCAGCTCCTCTGGCTTCTGAGGCTTTTGCCTGCATTGTTCAGATAATCTCAGACCATTCAGATTGATGACTCTCAGGTTTTTCCACCTTCCTGTCACTTGTCCTGCCCTTGGAGCACGAGTGGGACAGGAATCACTGTGGGGCACTGGAGGTGCCTGGGCACCAGGATGGATCCAGCTCTGTTCCCACTGAATCCACAGGAATCACTGTGGGGCACCAGGATGGATCCAGCTCTGTTCCCACTGAATCCACAGGAATCACTGTGGGGCACCAGGATGGATCCAGCTCTGCTCCACTGAATCCACAGGAGTCACTGTGGGGCACCAGGATGGATCCAGCTCTGTTCCCACTGAATCCACAGGAATCACTGTGGGGCACCAGGATGGATCCAGCTCTGCTCCACTGAATCCACAGGAATCACTGTGGGGCACCAGGATGGATCCCTGCTCTGTTCCCACCGAATCCATAGGAATCACTGTGGGGCACCAGGATGGATCCAGCTCTGTTCCCACTGAATCCACAGGAGTCACTGTGGGGCACCAGGATGGATCCAGCTCTGCTCCACTGAATCCACAGGAATCACTGTGGGGCACCAGGATGGATCCAGCTCTGCTCCACTGAATCCACAGGAATCACTGTGGGGCACCAGGATGGATCCAGCTCTGTTCCCACTGAATCCACAGGAATCACTGTGGGGCACCAGGATGGATCCAGCTCTGCTCCACTGAATCCACAGGAATCACTGTGGGGCACCAGGATGGATCCAGCTCTGCTCCACTGAATCCACAGGAATCACTGTGGGGCACCAGGATGGATCCCTGCTCTGTTCCCACCAAATCCACAGGAGTCACTGTGGGGCACCAGGATGGATCCAGCTCTGTTCCCACTGAATCCACAGGAGTCACTGTGGGGCACCAGGATGGATCCAGCTCTGTTCCCATTGAATCACTGTGGGGCACCAGGATGGATCCCTGCTCTGTTCCCACTGAATCCACAGGAGTCACTGTGGGGCACCAGGATGGATCCCAGCTCTGCTCCCATTGAATCACTGTGGGGCACCAGGATGGATCCCTGTTCTGCTCCACTGAATCACTGTGGGGCACCAGGACTGACCCCAGCTCTGCTCCCACTGAGCTCTGGTTCCTGCAGAGCCTGGCTCTGCTCTCACAGCTCATCAGCACTGGAGGCAGAGTTGAGGATCTTCCTCAAACAATGTCCAGCTGTTTACTGACAGCTCTACAACAGATGGGGCAAACAGAGATCCCAAGGCTGGCATTTACTGGAATGTGGTAAAGGGAATCATGGCAAAGAACAGAAAAATGCCTGGGCAGCTCCTCAGTGTGTGTAAACAGCAGGGCCAGGCTGACTCCCACCCTGTCAGTCAATCATGCTAATATACATGAATTAAGAATAGAAATCAAGCTTCTGCATTACATCAAGTGAAAGCTGTTATTTGGGGTTTTCTGAGAAGCTTATCTCAGATCCTTGATCAAACTCCTCAGATTCTACTGAGGTTGATAAATATCAGAATAAAATTTCTGAGTCAAAGTGATGTCATAATTCTTACTTTTCCTGCAAACTTTGTTTTGATTTCTTACCAAATTAGTGAAATAAAAGGGATTGACATCATCATATATTTAAGGAAAGTTCCAAAGGTTCTCCTATGATGATACCATGCTGATTTATCCAAAATATACTACTGTGTAATGCTAGCATTACAAGCAATTATGAGATTTTTATTTGGTTGGAGGCAAGGGTGTTGCTCAAGCTGACTCCAGTGTGGGGTCCCACAGCCTTTCAGGCACAGAAGAAAATGTTCTGAGCTGAACACATTTTCTGTAATGTAATTTATTATTCAAGGAAAAGGTGTTAGGAAATCAACAATGAAGTGATATTTACTCAGTTTTGAGACTGGGGTTAATTTCAGGAGCAGTGAAATTTTATAAGAAGCAGGCACTGGTGTCAGAATGTCAAAAGGAGGTATTTTCTGCATGATGTTTATAACTGCTTTTGTTCTGGGCTGCTATGTCAGTAAAACAATTTATACTAAGAATATTTTCAGATGTTCCATCACTTAGTCCCTGTTGACTTGAAAGGTGGCCTGAAAGAGCTGAGAATGGCACTAACTCCAGAAAGGAAAAACTGTACCATAGAAAATCCCTTCTTTAATAGCACAGAAATCCATGTAAGAGATAGAATACATCATCTGTATTTTCAGTACCAAGACCACCTGCAAGTGATAATGTTTGCATGAATTTTAATTAGAGAAACAACATTTTCTTGCAATATCTCCTTTCCAAGCATCATAGATGAATAGTTTAAGTTGCTATGGTTACAATGGGTTGTGTCAGACTGTGGATCAGTGTGATGGTTACAAATTTGCATGTAAAGAACAAAGGCTGCATCTTTTCATTTCAACCAGATGATTTTAGCTCAAAATATTTCTGTGATTTTAAATCGGTTGATGCAACTTGACATATCAGTCATACTAGGTGAAGAAAAATGAAAATTTCATGATAGTTTAACTTTTCTGTTTAAAGTAAGTCCCTTTGCAATTTTTATTCCAGTTAGAAGTTTATTTTAAGAAAATAAATAGTACTTTTCAACAACCCATATAGAACAGGAGTTTTTATATAGGCTCTAAAAAGAATGCCAAGATGTTGCCTTGGCTCTTGAGCTATTAAAGGCACAGTCTGTTTCTCATGAATGAAGATTGGCTGAGATTTGAACTCTCTCCTAGTTTTGATCCATTCTGTTTTGAAATGTAGCAATCTTATCTTCCCATTGCATTGTGCAAGTATTTTTCATTATGGATTGGCATGCCATCCACTTAGTATCTTCTATTTGGAGGCAGCCAATTCCTCCCTTTTGATCCAAACCAGTTGTTAACTGTCTAAAGTATTTCTTTATATGAAAAAATAAAAGAGCCTTCCTTGAACCATTTTAGTGGAATCCCCTGTGAAACTAATTTGTGGGGCAAAACAAATCAGTAGGTGTGTGGGGTATGGAGAGAGAAAGCCTGTGCCTCTGTGTGTGCACATTGCAGCCTTCAGATGTTTTCATCCAACTAATTTCAAGGGTTAAGAGCGAGATAGTGTGCTAAAGTGATTCCAGATGGGCCAACATTAATATCTTTCTTTTCCTGATGAATGAGAAGGTATGACCTAGTTAGAAAACTGCTAAAAGTGAAGGCACCAGCGAGGCTCCAGCCCAGCAGAGCCGTTCCTGCTCACCTCGGCAGCTGTGGTGCTGGTGCGCGGCTCGGACCTGCTGCAGGAGCCCTTCCAGGGCCTCCGTGTGTCTCCTGTGCTGAGGCTCTCTCCCACTGCAGTCTTTCCAGTCTGGTGAACAAAGGAAATAAACAGAAATGAAACACAAAGGTGCAGGAGAGGGTCTAAAAATATTTTGTTGCCTCTGGTACTTCTCGTCTCTAGAGGAGTTTTACATCTCGGCAGGCAGGAGTCGTTTCTAAGTCTGTTGATACTTGTACACTGAGGTTTCTTTGCCTCGTGCCAGCTGGGTGATTAATCATAATGATTATTAACAAAGAGCTCACAAGCAGCTCTGAGAAGCTCCTGTAGTGTCTGACTTGACCATGGCTGCTTCTCTCCATGAATGGGCTCTGGGGCTGCTCTCAGCCTGTCCTGGCACTCAGCCCCTCACCAAGGTCACACAATGCTCCTTCTGCCACTCCTGCCGACACCAGGAGGATCCACGGCTCACCTACAGTTCTGCAGAGCAGAGAATGAACATCTTCCTACCCCTAGAGCTTGCCCTGTAGCCAGAGAAACATGCTCGGAGTAAAATCACTTCTGGAGATCTGCTCCCAGCAGCGGCCTGAGCAAACGCTGGCAGCTCCTGCCCTGGAGCCATGGGCTGCTCAGCACTGCACTCCTGAGGCAAAAACCTGCTGCATTTGTCCCACACACATTCAACCTCCAACAGACTTTGTTTTCACTCACTTGCTGCTAATGAGAATCTCAGGCTTCATTTTAAAAAACAAACTCATCACAAATAGGAAGAATTGAGTGTATCAGAAAGGAGCTCTTTAATTCCAGACTTGGCTATTTTAATACTTTGATTATAATGAGAAAAGCTCATTGCACCAGTTTCCTGGCCCAAAGGAATGGTGGATCAAGGTATTAAGAGATCTGTCTGCACAGGAGACATGCTCCCATCTTGCTGGCACAGAGGCTGGGACATACTCATAGCCACCAGCAGTTTGCTCACTCACTAAATATACAGATCCAGTTTCTAGTGCAAGTTTGGAGTCAAGCATTCCTTCCAATGGGCTCACTATGCCAGGGATATAAATACCTGTTTATTTACATTTAGTGTAGCAGCCAGAGTAAGCCCCATGAAAGGCTGGAAAGAGAAGACATTTGGTATCCTGATAGCCTGTGGGCAGTGTGACAGCCGCAGAGGGGCTGTCCTGTGTGCTCTGTGCTGCTGCAGACATCAGGGCCAGCTGCATTTACTGCTCAGTGTGGGGAAAATGTCCTCAGAGCTCCTGTGAGCAGCCAGGAGGGACCAGCTGGAGCTCACCAGTATCAAAGTGTTTGCTGTTATCAGACTGGTAGAGTTTCAAACAACCTTGTGATTTCTCTGTTCCAGTGGTTTCCAAACTTTTTGAGCCTCCAGATTGCTGACTACCTTAAAAATGACACAGAAACCAGACCAACTTCTGTCATTGTCCATCACTCACCTGATCATGAATAAACCTAGAAATATTTCTGTCTACTGGGATTTCACAGAGAAACGGCACAATGCTGGCCACCACTTTCCAGGCTGCTGCTGTGTGTGGGGGAAGTGGCAAGTGCTCCCTGCCATCACACACAGACACATGTCCAAGAGTGTCACCAGCCTTTGATGCTCTGGGATTGGACTGGATCAGCATCAGGCCCTGAAGCTTTCCTTTCCCTGCATATTCTCATGGCTGCTGATACAGACAACTTTGTAGAGCATTAATGTATTCCCATTTAAATTTTAGCTCAGGGTCATATTTTGTTATGCAGCACTGGTGTAATGTCAGCTTGCTGCCTCCTTGCCAAGCACAAATCTTCTGCTTTTCAAAACCAGTGGTGAAGGCAGTCATGTGAATAGGGAAATTCTGCCCCCAGTAACTGCAATGGTAAATAACATCTTGTCTCTCTAATGTGAGTATTACTTAATGAAAAGATTTGCATTTAGGCTCTGCTGGTCTTACTGTAAAGCTTAAGCATGTGGCCCTAAACCCAGCAATTACAGACCTTTCTGTACTCTTAGCACCCTGAGATGCTGTACAAGGGGAATGAACAGAATTTTCTGCATGGCTTTTGTGCTGATCCACTGAAATCTGCAGGAAGATTTCCTTCACACCCCAAAACTTTGGAGCTGGCACATAATGTCAGATTTCAGAAGGTTAATAGCAGGGGACTATAAAAAGGGAAGAGAATGCAATATGCTGAAAGCAAAATTCACATCATACAAAGTTGCAGTCTTAAATACCACCTGTCTTGCCAGGAGTGCTCCTTCTTTGGGGGTATTTGGCTGAATAACTGGCAGCTACTGTGAAAGAATCTGTCCCCCAGCTGATGTAAATTTTGGGTTTCTGGGGCCAAGTCCTGTGTAGTTACACCTGGCTATAGTCAAGGTAATTGCACATTACCAAGTTATTAGTTATCCACAGTATATTTTTTCCCCATTATTGTAGCCCATTTTTGTTCTCAAGCAGAATAATTCTTTAGCCTGGTTCTGGTATTGTTCTGGAGAAAACACAAGAAAAAAAAAAGAAGCAAAATGGGACAATGGTAATGCAAAAGCCTTATTTATCCAACCCTCTCCATTACGACTGCTGAGAGTAGGTACAGCTTGTTATATTTTTTCACATTAGCATGCAAGGTTATTAAGTTGCTACATTAGCCTAATAAAAACTAGTGTTAATGCAATAGAAAAGAGAAGTCCCACTTTACAGCATTAATCAACACAAGGGGAGCTGTAATACACTGAGTCAGTTTGGCAGGGAACACTAAGTCTGGAAAAGCAACTAACAATACAATGTGATTATAATAGATTAAAAATTACAAATGACAACTCATAGCCCTAATGAAGTTTGAGAAGACTGCCAGAGGTTGGATAAGGAACATTTTCTTTTTGACATTTCTGCAACATTCGCAGGCTACATCCTACCACCATGTGTGTCCACACTGGAATATTTTATGTACACGATGCTGTAAGAGTGGTCCAGTGAATGGGATCTGTAATGCTACAAGCTAAAGCATAAAACTACATGAGATACTTGTAAGTGTTTTGCTTCTAGCAGCTCAGAATCAGGTTTTGATCTATTAATGTACTGAAAAATGAAGTTCCATATATCAGAACTCTACTAAGAGAAAAGAAGATTAAAATATTTCTAACTTTTTAAAGTGTTAATGACTAGAAAACAATTTTCTGTCAAAGGACTGGAAAAGAATAAAAGCTGAGACATAAATATACATCAATTATTATTTTGCTTAATTTTTGAGGGTTGGAAAGAATTGAGTTTTATTATTTATTTCACTCCTAGGTGGCATGACAATTACATTGTGAACTCCAACATCACTAAGCAAACTGGAGGCCAGACCAACCCCACCTACTTGAAGGAGAAGCATATTCAGGAGTAGATTTGCATGGAGGTCCCCATCCTCTCATGTTGTATGCTGAGACACGGACATAATATCTCTGGCCCTGCAAATGGAAACAACTGGAGTCAAAACTATCACTGGATTCAAAACCTTGGCTGTAACAACTGCAAAGCAGTGCCTCACAAAGATTTTTTTTTTTCAGCTTAAATAGTTTTAATAATTTAAATGCACCATGATCAATTGAAACATACTACAAAGATTTGAGGACAAGGTTTGAGACCCAATTCTGTTTGGTGTAAAATAGATATACAAATAACAAAAATGAGAATGACTGCCATCAACATGTGCATTTCTGGAAGAAGGAGAAGAGAAAGAGCTGTTATGTGAGGTATTGGTCATCAGAGTCAGGTCTAGATTTCTCAAGAGCCTTTGCTCTGCACTGATTATCCCATTATCCAGAAAACAGCAGCTTTTGCTCCAGTCTTTCCCAATTTGTCCTGAGAATGATAACTCAAAACCTGGTTCTATTCCTTTGTGACTTTTGGATTATGGCTACCAGACATGTCGTGCTCAATCACTGGAACATGTTGTTACAAGAAAGGCTCTGCAGTGATTTTCAAGGGTGTGGTGCAAATTCTCTTTGTATCACTGTGGGGACCAGGCCATGAAGGTCTAAATGAGTCCTCTGGAACTCACCGTCCTGAGACCTGTGATGAAGCACCTCAAAGAGTGAAGATTATCCATAATTATTTCACCAGCCAAAGGAGAAAAGTCTTCTGAAGAGCTCCATTCCACTAGAAACAAATAGCAGGAGAAAATCAAGTCAGGTACCAGTCCAAGCAAAGAAGCCAAAGGACTTGAATCACTCACAGGTTAAGTTTTCTCATAGCAGTTTCCCAGTCCATGTGGGTACTAAAAATCGTGTTCAACAGTAAAGTATAGCAAATACACAGCGATTAAATTATATCTTTGTGTATGGGAGATAAAACCAAAATATTGTTCAAAAGCTTTTCAAGAAAGAATGCTTAAAAATAGACTGCAATACAAATTACTTTGAGTTACCGTTGTGCTCATTTGAGCAATTTCTTTTTAAAGACAGAGAAGCAGTGGAAAAGAGAAGGTGAAGGAATTGGGCCTGTTAATGCCATTTGGCAGTTTATACATCCTAACCAACAAAAACCATTGGATTTGCAATGACTTGCATTGGATTTTCCCAGGTGGGCATGGGCAGAGAGTCCTTTTGGCTCCTCAGGTCCACAGACTGCCCTTGGCTAATTGGGATAGAGATATTCTCCTTGGACCAGACACTCACTGGAGCCTCCTGGTTGGTTTCAGAGGTTCTGGCTCTCCTGGCCAGGCCTGCTGCTGCTCTGGTCACTGCAATTACAGAGCTCCACCAGGACCTGGTAAGCTGAATCCACTTTCAGAGGGATTTGGGTGCTGCTGGGCTGACAGACCCCTCCCATCTTTCCTTCAGCCCAAATTGTGATGGACACCTTCACCAAAGTGCTCCTGTCACTCCTGTTCCTGCTGAGCTCAGGGCTTATGCAGTCAGCAGTCCTGCTGTCCATACTCTTCCTCAGTACTTGAAAAACTTATTCTGCACATAAAATAGTATTGAGCAGACCAAGAAATACTACTGGATGATTTTGAAAAAAGAATATGTGCAAGTGAGGAACAGATGGCTGCAGGCAGGAAACCAGCCTTTTTTCTTAAATTATTCCTTATTAATGAGAGGTGCCATCCTGGTTAATCCTGGACTCATACCTCTGGGATTTAGTGACCTGTACCTTCAGATTCAAACTTCCAGGAAAACCTATCAAAACCATAGTGAAATTAATCTCTTGAAATATTCTACAGTAGAAACTGGGAAATCTCATTAATTTCCTGGATTTACACCAAAGAATTAAATATAAAGCTTTTCTTTATTTCCTAAAATCTATTCACAAAATAGTTTTTAGACATTTTATTTGTATATTCATTAGTACTGGAGTTGATAATTTAGAATAGATCAGAGGATATAGGTATTCTAATTTCAACATGTGGAATTTTCATCTTCTGGCAGTGTCATACCAGTATTTTCACATTAAAAGAAAATGGCTTCAGAGAATTTCTTGTTCAGCATATATAACATTTAACTGCCAACACATTTTTCTGAAACAGCCAAGTATCAATAGCACAACTCATTTTTCCCTTCTCCCCTAATCGCTCCTTTTCTATGATTGCACTTTGTTTCTATGATTGCACAGCATGCTCTGCAACATTTTTGTGTTTGCTGCAATGAAAAGAAGATTGGTTTTTTATATTCTCATTGAATTTTTTCACTGTGTATTTTTCTAGTTTTCCACGGGTTTTAAATACCTAATTACTGCCACCTTTAGTGGAAGCTATCTCTGCACATTAGTAGGAAAATGTAGAGACTGTTGCAGTACCGTATTGTAGGGTTTTGTTGACAGCTTAATTATAGGAATACTTAAAAGCAACATTGAACTTGATGGCCTGTCAGAGTTTCCATTGTAAACCGCGATTTTCAAGGTTTCTAACTCCACTCGTATTAAATTGCTGCAGACACTGTACACATGCTGCAGACTTAGACATGTTTTCTGTTTTCCAGAAGGAGAAACCAGAAGGAAAAACCCTTCTCAAGCTGCTGAATGCATTGTCAACAGGCTTGCAGCCACTTCAGACACCCTTTTTCTTTTCAAGGATTCGTGTCACGCAAGACAGTGTCACTCAGGACAGCTCCTGCCAGCAAGTCCTGCCTTCATTGGAATCCCCAGGCATGCCCCAGGGTCCTGCTCCAAGAGCGGGGCAGTGCTTGGGCCACAGTTGGGGCAGCACAAAGCAGAAGCCAAGGATGAGAGAAGTAACTCTAAGCAGCTTTTGATCCTCCCAAATTTTTAACTGTTCCATGGACTGCAGGCTGCCCAGACATAACCTGGTGCTTTGAGAGGCATATTTAAATTTGGGTAGCTTACACAAACAAACTGCAGCCCTGGCCTTGATGTGGGTCCCCTTCCACTTGCATTTGGCATTTAGAGGAGGGCTCCCAACATTTAGAGATGCTGGCACACTGTCTGAAGAGGAGTTAATGCCTTAATCTGAGCAGGATTGCAATCTTACCTGTCTGCAAGCCTGTGACCTGCAGGAACACCACAGTTCTGGTGTTGTGACTAGCAACAGCATGGCAGCTTGTTCTCAGAAATAATCAAAGGCTGCTGAGTTCAGGGAGAGACACTGAGTTTCCAAGGAGAGAATGGGCTGACATGATCCTCAAAGCCATGTCAGGAGCAGCAGGGAAGTTTGAGAGGTTCTGTGATAGTAAATCACAGGGCTGTGCTCTGATCTCCCAGGGCAAGCTGCTGCCCCAGCTGGTGTCAGTGAGGCCCTGAGTGATGCTGGTGACGCTGGCATGTCCCAGCCCCTTGAGGGACAGCAGCTGCCTTGGGAGGGTGTCCCAGTGTCCCAGGGCTCGTCCTGCCATGAGCTGCACCCTGGATGCCCCATGGTCACCCCACCATCCCATCCTTCCCTGGCTGCCAGCTGAGGCTCAGCTGTGCCTCTCCTTATGCAGCCAGCAATGCCAGCATTTTGCTTTGTTTTTAGCTTAGCCAGTGGTGTCTGAGCCCCATGGAACTGAAACACAGGAATATGATATTTGCCTGTGGATCAGGTTATGGTTATCATGGTTGAGAACCCTCCTTTTAAAGGATATTTACCTAACAAGATGGTGTATCCAAAGTTACTCAAAACTTAATTTTCAAATATATTTATTTTGAAACCTCACTTTTGGAAAAAACCCCCGTCCCCCAGTTTCAATAAAAATTTCCATAACTGAAAAATAAATATTTTTTCAACAGCTGTGTTGGAATAGTGCCTTCTTTTTCCCCTCATTTCAAAGTATATCTGTCATAAAGAAACTCATAACAAGTTTTGGAATTTTCTTGCTTACTTATAATTTTAACAAACTTTTTTCCTCCCATGATTTTACTGACTCAAGTGAGAAGATGATATGATACAGCTTTAAAGAAATGCAAATCAATGGAAATAATTTATCACTTAGGTTTATATCTCCTGCTCTGCATTGCCAGTTTTTAGCTCTCTACTGTAATGGTCATCTAAAAATAATACAGAATGTTCTGCTATACTGATTCATTGGGCTGGAAACCTCCTAGGAGGACATGGATACCAGTTTTCCTATTTTATAGAAGTGATAATGAAGTAAGGAGGGGTAGAGAACCTTTTTCAGTCAACAGGCCCCAAAACAAGGGCAAAATCCATGTATCAGGCCAGTGTTGTTCCCACTGCCTGGCCTTGTGGGATGTCTGCAGCTGTTCCTGGTACCAATACAAAGCCACTCACTCATGGTCTTACCCTGGTGAAGCATCTGGACCTAAAAATTATCTAATTTTGCATGAGCAACCCATCATGAAGATTTAGCTAAATCTTTGCCTCCTTTGTGAGAGGGAGAGTGCTAGGAGAGAGCAAACACAAATTACCAACCATTTGTGTCACGCTGAAGTCCTTGGGACTTTAAGAGGGAACAAAAGGCTGCCTCACCTCAGCATGTAAATGCTGAATTATAAACATGCTCCAGTATAGAAAGCTGAGGATGAAGAGGGTCCTTTATAAGAGCCCAGGAACAGGAGCTGGTCTTGTAGACTGCACCAACTGTGCTGTAAAGGACCTGAAAGCTGTTGGGTGAATTAAGGATGGAGCATGTTCCAGTCCTGTTCTGAACACCCCAAAGGGCTGCTTTGTTGTGAACGCTGAATGTCTTTGCTGTTGCGGCTTTCCATCTGACACTTCATGTTATGTCAGAGCAGGGCTTTTTTGTGTGTTTAATATATTGGTGACTATGTGTTTTAATGAAGGTGCCCTGTATTCCAGAGCTAGCAAATGCACGATGTGTTGCTGCGGTCGCCAAGATAAGTAGTAATTTTTAAATAAACAGCAGTATAAACAGTTACATAAAACTCATGTAAATTGCTGGCACATAATTTTAGACTGGCTTAAGTTATGTAACTTACTTGTGGCCAAGTTTTTTTTTTCTGTTTTTTTTTTTTTTTTTTAAATACTCAATTCACCCACTTTAAAATAAAGGGAGAGGTTTATTTTCACCTGTTTCTTTTCCACTCACAATCCTTCTGTTATACTGAGCATGCCTTTAACAGCTTCTCAGAGAGACAGAGAGGCAGATAAAGGGCAAAGGGAAGATATAAAACACCTCCTGACCCTATTGTAGATTCATTCAGGAAAGCACCTTCTCCTGAGTCAAGTAAATAGCTTGAGCCACAGTAGAATTTATTTCTTGTCTTGACATTTGTTTTTCCTTGCACTTATATTATTGAATTGCTGAGGAAATTAATTAGATTGAGGGACAGGAGTTCTGTTGCTGCTTGCTGGGGTCTGCAGAGTAGTGTATGGAGCTGGAATTCTGGATTTTATTCCTGCCTTTGCCACTGACTTGCTGAGTGACCTTGGGCAGTGCATTCTGTCACTCAAGCTTTTAAGGAAGGCTTGAGCAGCAAAGGTTCTGTCTCCCTCCCCTCCTCCCATGTCCAGGGCCTGGGCTGATGGTGGTCTTTTCTTGTGTTTCCAAGGGCCTCCAAACAAATAATTGTGTTATTTATTAGCTTCCTTTGAAATAGAAAACATAACAGAAAGCACCACCAGAAACCACGCCATCTTTTTCTGCTTGCTGATCTTGAAAAAATTTTAATGATTTACTCTCATAATGTCTTAGCAGCTGGATTTAAGGGCATTAAACTCTGCCATTCATATGAATAAAATC